TATATATATATATATATATATATTCATGGGTATATTTCGTGATTTGAAAACAAAGATCAAGAAAATCTTTTACTTCATTTAAGCTAGCTGGAATATGTCGGAATCAATGGCGTATCCACGAGTAGAAACGATCGATTGCCAATTTGATCTGTAAAGGCTGGTTAAGGTCCCGAATAATATTTTGTGCTTAATCATAGGAAAGTTTTACAATCATTGGTCATTGGTGTACTTGGAGGAAACGTGACTTACTCGCCAAACTGAAGCACGAGATGGAATAAGATCAACACCATATACATTTTGTTTTGTAACCACCTATTGTTCTCAATATTCTCTTTCCGTTGTTCGATTGTTCGATCAACGAAAGGAACACAAGTCAACGAATGAAAGTGCAAGACTAGTGCTTGTATAAGCCAATACTGAAACTTACGGTAAAGACAATATTAGTACGGAAGTTAAAACTGTGTAGATAGAAATATTAATCATGCAAACACAAAGGTAGTAAACATTGATATGTCCGCAATGAGCTTGCAAAAATGGGTTGTGCCATGTCGTGTATGTGTGAAATGAAAAGCTTTCTAATCAGCTGCGCTGTGGTTGAGTGGGTAATATGCTTCCGTTCTACTTGTGAGATCCTGGGTTCGATCCCCAGTTGGTCGATAGATTTGCTTTGCTGACGAGGCCCAGCCGCATTGAAATAGCTCTTCAATGCTTCCCAGCTTTTCATTTCCCTTTTACACGACGAAATTCTTTGTATAAGGTATAGAAACTTGATAGAGAAGTTCGTGAATGATAAAATTAGAAAACGAATTAGGTTTTTACTGGGAAATAAACTCATTCCCGGTTAACACCCTTCTGATTGTACGCAGTTCACACATTATTACACCATTCCCCCTATCTTTTGCTCACGACCTCAAGCGAACAGTTTACACATTCATCCATCCAGTGTTCCGTTTGGTTTTGTGGAACCTTTAACCAGTGAGCTTCGTGCTGCGCTTTTCGTTGCTCTCTGCCGGCTACTCATTTGGTTATTATGACGAATGGGACAAGAGGAACTATGAAATTACTTTTTAGATGTTTGAATGTGAGTAGACAGAAAATGCGCCCAATTACACCTCATGTATAGTGGAAGGAATTGGTTATCTGGATCTCTGGAAAATGAAAATGCACAATGAAATTATGTAGAAGTGAGTTGCTTTGGGAGTGTGGGGGTAGGTTGATAAACAATGAAAACCTAGGTAGAGCTTCACTAGGCTAATGTTTAATCGGCAACCATTTCAGTTAGTGTACAATGCATGACATCTAACCTCCTGACGGTTGTCACCTTGGCTATCCCCCAGTTTTCAGTATTGATACACACAACCGTAGAGAATGCGTCTTAGGGGATGATCTTGTGCCCCTCGCTCGCATGTGTTCGATAGTGGCTGTTCTGACGTGTCCTAGGTGGGACTTTTAAGACCAATTGAAAAGGAGTTCTGGCACGCGTGTGCCGAGTTACCTCTTGTTTTGGACAACTTATCTACATGGTTTTATATTCGAAACTATCCAATTGAAGATGTTTTGCATAAAATTGGGCAACATGTCGATGTTTGAGTTGTGAAAATATCAGTAGCAATGGTGTGCTTTGAACCCACTCATGGATGTCTAGACATACATATATGGCATATCCTGTTTGAGCTGAACTACAAGGTCATCCAGAAAGCTTGCATGTTTTCACCTTCGATTACCCACCCAACTGACTTAGGTACGCAGATTCGAATCTCATCGAGGTTACCAATCTTTTCACAATCCAGATATTTGAAACTACATAATCAGTGATTTGGCGAGAAATACTGACCTTCGACAGAATCATACTTTCGCTGTAGAGTATATTCGCCCGATAGATAAAGACGGGCTATCTGATTGCAACTGCGATATTATTATCCTTCTATGTCACTTGTCTGCCCTTTATATATAGAAATTGACTATTTTCTCACAAAACAGTTGCTTAAACAACTTGAAATATGTGAAGGAGTTTGATTTCTTCAGATAGCATGTATTGCCAACGGCAGTTCTCGTCGCTCTCCTATACTAATCCATATTCGTGGAACTCTTGAAATGCACCTACTGTCCACGCAGCAATACAATGAGCTCCAAAATTGTCTTGACAGTCAATATCTTTCTCCTAATTTCTTTATTACAATGTATTCAAAGTTGCTTTTTGGTGGAGCAGATCTCAGAATGGGGAAATTCTCGGAAATGCAGCATACCATTGAACATCAAAAATTTGCTCAAGAAATATTCCAAATTAGATCGCGCGGAAATTACAGACACACCGGCTCGGAATTCAGTCCGACAATTCAGCCATCTGTGCATTGCTGTACCATGTTTTTTGGTTGAGGTTGATCAAATGCTCATTTGTAAATCACCGTGTGTTTTGAGCCGTGTGGATAGATAGTTGAGGCCTCCATGACAAATACTATAACTATACACGAATAACCGCCTTGTCCATTTTTATTGTTTGTTTGCAGGGTTACAAGGAGGCCACTTGTCCCTGATTGGGATCGAATTCAAGTAACGTTAAGAAAGACGTTACGCATCCTGTTGTGAATGAATTTTATCATGAATTTCTCTCAAGGATTGAAACAGTTTCGTAGAAAATGAATGCAAATAATGTTTGTCATTCGATCCTTCGGGAAGAACTTAGATCGCTAGGGGAGACGAAGACGATGAGTTCAAAGTTATCTCGTGGTCAGTGTTGAGTAAACGTAATCTGTGCAAACTGATCCGGTGATCAGCATAGAATCCCAGATACCTGGATTTTCTATTCTCCGTACGTATGAAGTAGCGAACAAGCTCTTTTGCTACGATTCATCCACGAGCTAAATACATCACCAATTATGTTAAAAACGTTGAGTAAGGGTGAATTCATGATCAGCTGGGAAGAGAAGTAATCAACATTCCAGTTCCATGACCGGATATTGCTCACACTTTTGTCTTCACAAATACGCACTGGCTTTGATCATTAGGGTCGGGTGCTGACTGTGTCGTGTGTCTGGTATTGTCCACGGGAGGCCAAGTGTTCTTACACATTGTTTTGGGGAGCACAACGGGGAGTGAGTGCTTATGTAGGCGAATTCCGGTTGCTGACGCCGTGACCAAGATGCCACTCTTAATCTCCTTATGTTGATAACTGCGAGTCAAATGCAGGAGTCAAAATAATTTGGCTCTTGAGACGTAGTGATATGTGAATCGGTATCAGCCCAACAGTGGTGATCTCGTTTGGCAACCGGTGACGCTTCCAGACCTTATCCACGAATCATTCTGGGTTTCCGTAATGGAGGAAAACGTCGATTGGATCTCAGTTCCCTCTCAGTCTGTATATATTCTCCGCGCTCTAGTGGCAAGGTATGGAACATCTTAGACATAAATTGTGCTGTATTAGGCTGTAGATCATCACTAACGAGCTTGTTCGCTCCTGCATTCTTTTTATAATGTGTAGTGATCGCATATTCAACTAATATAATGATCCGTCTGCAGCTCTATTGTACCACGCTTGAGCATATATTTTACATGTCGTAGATTCATCCTGTGCTGATTCAGCTGTCTTTCGGGATTGATCGTATTCGAATTCTAATTGCAGTGATGCGAAATGTTATTTGTGCCACGTTCCCCAAATGTCTCTTTTTATCTCCTTCAGGCCCAACTAGACGCGAAACAACCTGGACGAGCTGCTGAGCTGATGGCTGCCGTCCTGGTTCAGATGAGCGAAGAACAACCGGATTATGAAACCTCAAAGGCGGAAGAAGTTCCCATTGAAGCAGAGCTTGATGAAAAACCATCCCCACAGAACACTGACAAAACGTTTGGTCTATCTAACCCTTTGAGGGACAACTAATGTTTGTAAATTTCGAAACTCTCCCTGTAGAACATTGTACACAAATTCATCCGTCAAACAATGGGCTTGGTGTAAAATGTATAATCTTACTGCATAATATAACTTTATTGATCTCGCATTACTTTTGTAATCCCGAGATTTGGAGCAAAAATTTAGCAACAATCCGGCAAAAGCTGCGAAGATTACTGGACTAAGTTACTGTAGCATTCAAAAGAGAAGTCAACCACAGCATGAACCCCTAAATACACGCGCGCCGCAATTCTGAGGTGGCTTAAAGGCAGGCCCCAGGAGTTCCCTAACAGTGCATGACGATCTACTCAAGTTATGCTGTTCCCTCCATTACGGTTAGGTTGTTGCCAGTCGATGACCCACTGGGCTGTCCTTTTCTAGTACGCTTTTAGTATTTTTCCCTGGGCACTTTGTGCTGACCATTTCATCCCCAGACACCACATAACTAAACGATGTCATCCTAGTGGTAGCTGCGGGAAGTCTTCTAAAAATGGAATTTGCTACGACCGGTGGCTCCATTAGGTTTGCAGTAAGATTTCCTCCCAACCATCCGCGTCATACCCGGACAGTGGAATTAAAATAGATATGCTCAGATCTGTAGGCATCACCGAGGCTGGGGGCATAAGTTGCAAACTGATGATACAATAACCGATAGTAATAGGCTCTCGGGAATATCAGCCCACACAACTTGGAGTCAAAAGTGACAAACTAGGGGAACTAGAAATCAGCTTGAGGACCGAATTATTCGGACACCAAGCGGTCATTAACGACAGGGAAACCAGTTTGTTCGAGTTCGAGGAAGGTGTAAGCAACATAAAAACAAAAACGCTGGGTAGTGAAACTGACACGTAATGATCACGGGAATACGCGAGCCGTTCTGTAAAATTGCCACAGTGAAGGACAGAGACTCGCTTGATCATGTCGCCAACCTTCTTAGACTGGTGGGATTACCTAATCACGCGCCGATAAAAAGGGTCTTCAGGCTAGAGAAGTTCATCTCTCAGTTGAGCATGGCCAGAAGCCTCCTAACAGTTCTCGTGGAGTTCGGCAACCTGAGGTGCCGGGACACATTTCCGGTGACAGCATAGACCAACAGTAGTCGCGTCTTTGAAGGTTGGTGTTGAACCGGATAATGCACCTAAGAATTTTAGTTTCCGCAACCACACTAAACTGGATGTCATGGCGATCAGAGAGGTATTAGGCTGGGGCTTAGGAAATTGCAGCATCGACGGTTTCCCGGCCTACTGCAGAAGAAAAGACACCACATACATACGAACAATGATAATAAAGGTACGTAAAACGGACTAGTAGGAACATTGTCCGGTCGGTTGATGCATTCTCTTTGTCAGAAGTGTCATAATGTGAGGTGGAGCTGAAAGGGCTAGTAAACGGACTGTCGGACGACGAATGATATATGTGTCGTTCTTCAGCAACACCCCGGCAGCACGTGGGTAGTCACGATCAGAGTTTTGTATTTTTTATTATATATTTTGCGTAGTAAAACAGTACTAGCAGTAACAATAATAATTATAATACAATATTGTAGGCGTAGCGGCACGAGCTACCTCCCACTTTACATGTACCCTTCTTTGCATCTCACTGTTTTACCACACCAAGGCCACCTCTTTGTTCAGCACGTGTTAGCTTTCACTTTTCGCACGCTTCCACTTCTCTTCTGGCTCTGCAGGTTTACACAATACAACCGTCCTCCGTTTTCTGTTTTCATAAGAACGCTCGTTTGCGATACAGACGTGCTAACTCGGGGTACCGATAAGCTAGTTCCTACAAATTGATGACCTCTCATTTTACTTTTATTTACCTTGGAAATGTTTTTTCGGAGAATGTTAGCTTTCTCTGGGTCACATTTCTCGTGTTTTGCCCGTAGATTTTTTAAGGATCTGCATCATTCACGCAACTTTATATTATATTTATTTCTAGATTGTGATTTACCGGTCATCTCTGATTCGATTTTAGCATTTTCTGATATGTCGATTTCTGCATACACAAGATTGATCTGAAAGGAGTCCCGGGTTTATGAACTTTAGGTGAGCCTCTCATTTGTGGTGTTTCTGTCCCCAGTGGCTCCATTTGTTTATACTGTTTCGGCTATGTTACAACATGGCTACATATCCGAAATACAGTATAAACAACGTACTTTTACTCTTAGGCGCTAATAGGTCGTATATTTATAATCGGTTCCGCAACCTCATATCATATATTCGCGGTTTTGTACGACTAGCCCCGAGAGTAAGTATTTCACCGACAGCGAAGCACTCTGGGCCCAAATCAGGGCATCGGAATTCATGCCGATGTACCCGGGAGCGTTAATCACACTTCGCTATTTGTATTTGTGTAACTTGTGTAAGCATAAATGCTTACATATCAGTTAAAAATGTACACTATTCGTCATGCAGAATGAAATAAAAATAATAAAAACAAAAGGTGAAGAATGTCGGTGATGTACGTTTCACGTACAAAACATTTGACGTAGATCATTTGATACCTGTTCCCTTTTGGTAAGTAATCGGGCCAGGTAGGGTACAGGGGAATTTTTTTATAAATGTTACTGCGAGAGGGTAGCTGTCGAAATGAGGAGCGTGTGGACGGATCGGAACGACAAGACGAAAGATCAGGGTGTAGTGGATGAAGAGGGTCATCTAGAATCTTGTGAGCAAATTTTAAAGAAGAGTTGATGTGACCATCAATGAGTTCTGTGATTAACAAATCAATTGGGATTAATGATGTACGACTGATTATCACCAAAACACGGCGAATTGTTTTGGAGTCGTGTTTTAAAAGTCCGGGAAAAACTACAGGAGAGCAATTAAGTAGAATGGGTAAAACGCATTGCTGAACGGAAGATGACAGGACTGATTGTGGGGTTCGGAATTGCCTGAGTTTGCGTAACTCAAAAGTTTTCCCACACAGTTGTAAATATATGTAGACCAACGAAGATTGCTGTCGATGATGACGCCCAGGTACTTCACTCAGGTCATTCTAGATACAGATTTATCGTTGAGAATAGCAGAGTCCGTTGGAAATGAGGAGCGGGAAAGACTGAAAATATACTACGCATTTCGATATGTTAAGACTGGGTCAGAAAACTGTTGGATGTGGGATAAGTTTTCAGTAAAAGAATGAAAGTTCGAGGGAGATGAAACTGTTTGAGACAAAACGGCGTCATCAGCATACTTTTGGATGTGCGCAGTGGGTGGGACAGAAAGATCACTAATAAAGGCAGAAAAAATATGGAGACAGAACAGCACCATGAAGAACACCAGAATTGTTAACAAGGGGGTTTGATGCCCTCTTTCCTAATTTGGTGCACTGGACCCTCTGTGTGAAATAGTCGGCAAGCCATGAGAGCAGTTGTTTTGGAGTGCCAAAAGATTCAAGTTTGAAAATAAGAGATGGTCGGGAAACAGAATCAAACGCAGACGAATAGTCAAGAAAAACACAACGGACAGACCTGACCGAATGATTTAATGATTTGCTAATGAAATGCACTAGAGTGGATACGGTGTCCAGTGTAGATCTGTTTGGTTTATATGCAAACGGAAGGGGGTCGTGGGGAATTGTGGTGCCTGACTGCAACCAACTCAAGATGGCTTTTTCAGTTACCTTTAGAGCCGCTGAGTTCAACGCGATAGGACGAAACCGTTTCGCAAGCACAGTTGAGGACATGGATTTGGGGATCGGAATAATGGTCACTGGACGCCAATAATGAGGAATCTACCGGGAAGATAGGGGCACATTCCCTATGAATGTCATCATATTGGTTAGGGAAGCTGCGCCAAATTTCAGAAGTGCCGGAGGAAGGCCATTCGGGCGTGCAGCTGAGGATGCTTTGCAGCATCGAAGAGGCTTAAAGATTAAATAATTGGAAAAAGGCACTGAACTGGATTCATTGCATAAGAATGAGGGAATCTGGCTCTCGATTGACGGGTGGATGAAAGCGGCGTTGAGACTGTTGACATCCACAGAGGTATTAGAATGTTTTCTGTTCTGCCCACAGAGAAGGCAAATACCTTGCCATAAGAGCCTGGTGTTCTTTGTTCGCAGAATGTGGGCGGCGAAGATTGCATTGAGGTACATTATCTCGGACCTGATTAGCTCAGAATAGCGCTCTACAAGTGATGCAAGACGAGATGTGTAGGTCAGTTCTTTGTACCTTTTCAGTGATTTCAGAAATGGTGGGGTGATTATACCGTTACAAACAATCAAGGTTTTCATTAGACAACACAAGTTAAAGATTGATTTAATCGTATCAGTGAACAGATTGATAGATTTAAAAAGCGAAGGACAAGAACCAAACCCAAACTGAACAATCACAATAGAACGGTTGAGAAGAGAGATACGGTTGGATGAAAAGTCCCTTGGGTGAAATTTTATCTGAGTAGAACGTGTAAATGCTTGATAAGCAATGCAAGAGTATACCTTAGGTCTAACATGAAGAAGACTATGGTCACTGGTAAAAACCGGGGCCATTAGTTTGAGAGAAAATAAGTTGGGATGGTTTGTGATCACTCTGTCCAGCACAGAACTAACTTTGGTAGGAGAATGATAAAGGTCAGACAAACCAAAAAAAAGCAAGGGAGAAATGTTTGCATGATTAAAATCACCAACAAGTAAGTGGAAATTTGCATCTAATGATGGAACTAGAAATGGAATATGTGAATCAAAGAAAGTAGAAAAGTCGGTCCGAGTACAGGAGGGAGATATATGATAATAATTATAATTATAACGGTATATTTCGCGAAGCATGCTAGTGCGCATGATTAAAATGTGCAACAATATGAAACGTGGTTAGTGTAGACCAAAAAGTAATAGTAGAAAGAGTGTTGAACGTAGTTTTGAAACAGGTACGTAGAATATCGTAAATGTGCCTTGCGTTGAAAACGAAACACAAAGCGGACACGGTCATAAAATGGAGTACTGGTGGTGATCTGTTATGTAATGCACGTCATGGTGAACGTATATCTTATGACAAT